CCCCAAAAGTAGGCAAAATAATGGGCCAAAACCCATAAAAGGCCATTATTCTACATACTCTGGGGGTCCAGGCAGCTTCTGGGGACTTAGGGCTTCTGGGCGCTCGCAGGCCCCCTTGGGAGTCGCTCAGTGTTTCGAGGACTCTGAACTGACTTGTGGCTGACTAGTCCTTGTCCAAGTAGGGATTTTTAACAATCAACACACGGCTTAAGATAAGTAGCAATAGCATAATACTAGAAGGCTTAAGATATGTAACAATAGTATACTTCTAGAAGGGACGATCAGGGGATAGCAATTTTTGAAACACTCCGACCCGTGCGTTCGGCTCTATGTACTGCCAGAGTTGGCTGGAGGGAGACATATGGAGGTTTCCGAAAATAGGGGACCCTAATAAGTACCCTGAATAGTAGGATCCTCACTATAAGGACCCCGAAATAAGGTACCCCTTAGTTTCGAGAAACTCCCATATGTCGGCAGCGGGCCTGCCTTCACTCCCGAGCGCCGAAGCAAAAGATGCAGGCGTCTAACGGGTCTAACGATGCAGTGGTTGAGCCTGTTGCCGGTATATGATGATACGACGAACAGTGACTACTTTGATAGCGGTTTAGGGTTTAGGGTTTATGGTTTAGGGTTTATATCGCTGTACTGGACTGATTCGCAGAGGAAACTCCGGGTCGCTGAGATTCCAGCAGTTTCTCCCAGGCAGCCTGGAACATAGTCGAGATCACCTCGGGGGTCAGTGTTCCCTTAACCCCAAAGCGCCAAACCCTTAGGGCCTTAGGGAGGTCAGGGCTTAAAGTTGCTGGGCATCGGGCTTCGGGGATTTAGACTTTACATGTCATTGGGTTCAAGCTATGATAGTCTAGTTGAAGGTCAATGATCTTTTCATTCTGACGGCTATGACTATTGACACTGAAGACTGCTACCATTGTTGCTAGTGGTAAATTATGTTCATATTATCGTTATAGATATCTAGTATTTAGTATTCCACTCGTCTTACATATACTTACCATGGTTATCATGGCTGTCATTACGGTTACCATTATTGTCGTAGTATTGTTATTTTTCATATACGCTATTGTGATTCATACTGATGATGATAATATGGTTAGTAGTATTGTGCTCCGTTTATCAATATTCATATTGCTATTTATCGTTGTCGTTGTCGTCGTGGTTGTGGTGGTGGCTGTTGCTATTGTTACTGTTGTTGTTGTTGTTGGTGGTGGTGGTGGTGGTGGGGGCGACGGCGGCGGCGGTGGCGGCACCGGCGGCGGTGGTGGTGGTGGTGGTG